AATAAATCATCAAATGACCTTTACGTCATTGTTTCATCAGCCAATATTGTCAAAGAAAAAATTTCTCTAAATATCAACTTTTTTTAGTATTCTGTTTTATTTTTTTATTTTTATTTTTGAGATTTGCTGGGTACTTGCAAACATTGGTTTCCATCAGACTTCATAACCAGACAAGAAGGACTAAATAAATTATAAATAATATTTTCTGTACTAATTTTATTTTGCTTAAACGATTCATGTTATGTGACATTAATGGACTTTTGAAAAATAAAAAATAAAACATGTATCAACCAGCAAACGAGCAAACCGTATTAGGTTTCACATAAAGCACCATTCACCAAAAGTCCAAAATTCGATATTAATTCCAGCATCATATCCAAAAGAAAAATTTTTGGATCAAAGTAAATTCAATGTAAAAGAATGTGCACTCCGACGAGCAGCTTTAGCGGCTTTGCAGCACTTAGCTTTCTTAAGTGCATGACGGGACTTGTTCAATAGATTTATAGTCTAGCTCCCTTCTTCTTTTTCAAAAAGAAAAGCTCATTACAAAAGAATGTTTATTTTTATGGCAAGCTAAAACACAGGGGCCATTCCAATACTACTTTAACTGTTATGGTGCTTCTCCATTATTCTCCAAAACAAGACAGATAATTAAGCTTTCTTTATACATGTTTCATAGTTCTTTCCGATTGTGTGTCAATACGAAAAAGGTACATGAATTATAAGGGCAAAATCCGGTAATCATGAAGCTTGCCGTTAAGTCTCTCATATATCTCAATATTTATAAAAAGTAGTTTACGGTATCTAATTTGAATCATTTTGCATTTGCCGCTTGGTCAAGACGGGCCCGCTGTGGTACGTGTCAACATTTTCGTACGAAGTATCTCAAAAATTGATGACGTCACAATGGTAAGTGACAATGGAAAAGCAATAAAGTGAATAAATAAAAAGTGAATTTTTACAAAGTCGAAGAGTCACCAAAGTAGCCTTATAGAAGTGCATCATGCCTATTACTTTCCCAGGAGATTATGTTGTTTTTTTTATACCTTACTTTTTTTTTTTTGATAAATTATTTACACCTCACCTCTTAATGGATTTATTTATGTTTTGTGTGTTTGTTTTCTTTGTTATTGGGGTAAATTTTACTCATTTATAATCGCTTTGTTCACTTTAGAAGGAACTGTTAAATATTCACTTGGATATTTTTTCTCCTTTAATAAAACCAGCTTTAAGTAAATTAAATTGTGCCCTTTCTACTTTGAAGACAACAATAGTGCACTATTTATTTTTATTTGTTTCATTTTTTCCTATTGATTTCGATATTTGTAACAGACTGTGATAGTGTGTGATAGTTACCCTGCCAAAAGAGCATGTGTAGAGTTATATTTTTTGCATCATGGGGTTGTTGTGTTTATATTTACAATTTATTTTCCTACTACATTTTTTTTTTCAAATTTGGAACAACACATGGAATTGGCTGAGAATCAAGTTTTTGTTATATTGCAAAAATAACTGTTCTATTAGGAAAAAATATATCTTCTGGCGACACTCATTTAGAATAAGGGTTTTAAAATTAAATTATTACATTCGCAAAACTAATAGACTTCGCATGGTAAGCTTGATATATTAATGTCTAGTTATTTTACACTCAAAGTAAATATTTACTTTATAAAAAATTAATTAGCATGAAAAATTTAAAGAGAATTAAATAAAAATCCAATCCTTTTGGAAAATAAACTTTTTTTATATAGATTTTTTTGGTATTTTTAAAATAAACAAACTTCATGTTGTTTTTGTATCACTGCACAAAATTTCCAAATATCACTGCACAAAGTAGCGAACGTAACCAGTGCTTACTTCTTCTAACTGGACAAATGAAATTGGGAGAGAATGAGAGGTCAATTTTAAAGAATGAATGCACTCTTGCTATGCATCTTAACGGCGTCGAAACAGATCAATTTCTAAAAGGACAGCAATATTTCAAAACTATTTTCTTTTAGTTTCAAAGGCAAAAATTTGAACGGGTTTTTGCCAGATTAGTTTCTCCAAAATAGCACATATCCAATAGAATTTTTTAAGAATAAATTAATTTCTTGATCGTTTATAGATAAATAGTTGTCTTACATAGGTAATTTCAATATTAAATATTCTGAAAAATTAAAATATTTCCTTAAAAATATCTGCAGCACAAGCACTTTTAAAATGTTTTCAGTACACACAAAACCAATTATTACAATAATTGCCCATCAAAAATTTTTTTAATACATAACAGTTTTGTTAAACTTTCAAAAACCCAAGTATGTGTCCAGCATGTGGAGAAAGGTTAATCGAAGGGTGTCATTCTTTGGCTCCCTATAGAGAGCATGTAGGAATGCCACCTGATATGAGAATTACACTTGAGCACAGTAGCAAGTTTCTAAGCCCCCTGTTCCGATTCTTATTGTTGTTAACTCCAGTGAGTGAATGTATTTATTAGATTGAATGTGTAATGGCGGGATATTGAGTATGGTATAAAGATTACTTGATATTCCTCCATCACAATATGGTAAATGGTATGAAAATAAGTGAGAATGTATTTAAAAATGGGTGAGGATGAGAATGGGAGATTACATTGGGGGATGAAACAACCTGTTTTTTGGTGTGAGGTCCCTGGAGCACAACCTCAATGGCCAGACGGATAAGACCAACACCCTGGATGGTGGTTCTTGAGTCCTGCGGATAATTTATTGTAAATTTAAAAAATCTGGAATTGGTACTGTGTGAAGTGATAAGCTCATTTCAGTCCATGTGTGAGCAGATTTGAGCTTTTATAAATCAGTACTCAGTAATTTGCTATACAATAACAAATCAACACATTTTATCTTCTTGTTGTTAATTTATTGTTAATAGTTTGCTTTATTTTGAATCTTTCATAATTCCAAAATAATATAACGAGTAGATTCCAGGCAAAGTAAATATGAATAAATAAAGGAAATCTAATTGATGGTTTTCCTCCCTTTCCTTCTCCTGTTTAAATAAATAAATAATCAAAAGTAATAAATTGTATTAAAATATTTACTCATTCGTTATAGAGTTCTGATTAGAAAATATCTTCTAATCAAAAATTTATCCAGTATTCATGCAAGTAGCACAGACAATTTTGGAAATTTTAAATTTTAGGGTATTTTTTCTTGTAACTAATTAGTTTTAAATAATCTTTAAATGAACCTTCAGATTAACATTAACCTTCATTTGGCAGTAGCACAAATATTTAGTTAAATGAATGGTACCACTCTATTGAAGAGTCATAAAAATATTTATAGTGTTATATTTTTTCCTTCTGAAAAAAAAAAACCGTTGGGTTTGTTAAACACAAAGTGCAAAGTAAATAATTGTATGAAAAGCAGAAATAATACTTTAGCATGTTCAATCTTGTGTACTGGAAACATTTAAATTTCTGTTAACATATAAAACACATTATTAATACTTGTATTATAAAAATACACACAATGCGGCAGTTTTATGAACAAAAATGCTTTCACTTTTTGTAAAATGAAATGTATTTTCCAAAAAGTGAATTGTCATACTCACCCCTTAAATCATTTTTATTAAGATGTTTTCATTGATTGAATATTATTCTCTATAATAAAAATTATTTATTTCAGTCAACAGGCAAATATTGCTAGATTATTATAGTTTTATTGATAATTAAATTAGAATAGAATTAATACGATGATTCAACAGTTCCATGACGAAAACTCTCTATTACCATATTTTGGCATGTGAGCATGGAAATACTTCTTCTTCTGATTGAAAGTTATGAAATAATCCTCACATTCCATGTTTGTGAAGGACTGGAACGTTCCCCGACTGATAGTGTTTAGTAGTGTCTTTTATTTTATAATAAATATTTGTCGTTAGTTCGGAGAATTTACACATTTTCTATGTTGTGTTCATCATATTCAACAGTTTCTTAAAAAACATACTGTTACAGGGCGAGTTTATGTTCAAATTTACTAAGTTTTTCCAGAATAAACTAACCTTAAATTAAGATAACCTGTACAAAAATGTTAAGCTTTTTACTTCTGCCTTTGTAAATATAAGTAAAATTGTACATTGTTTGTCTACAAATAATAAATGACATTGTGATACAACATTTCTTGTCACTTGTTAGTAGTATTTAGTAGTTTTGAATATTACTTACCAAACAACATTACTCGCTCTAATCAGATACATTTTTTCTATTTCATACTTCATAAACATCCATTACACTAGTTTAAAATTGATTGAACAATAATTTACAACACAGAGACATTCTCAATTGATTAAAATCCTCTTTAAATTAATGAATTTGAGTACTTGCACCGTACCATATGCCCTATTCTTAGTGAACATAATTTCTGTTAAATTCTTTTTTATTTGTTTTTGAGTTGCAACTATGAAACATGTATATTCTTAATTTTTGTTATTTTTTTCGTTTTATGAATTGTGTACCCTCAATTTGACCTGTTACGCTTAGAGGAGTAAGCACCATTTCATAAACCCATTTCACAACGCTTTGTTAAAAAAAGGAAAAAATGACACACACTTCCTCAAGTAAGATTGAAAATGTTTTTGAACCATGTATGGACTGTTTTGACGGTTCAAACCGACGACTTCGAAGTTTTATTTTAACCACAGCGACATGTATTTTTCAATAAGATTCAAAGCAATTTAGTCATGCTTTATTAGTTTTAATGATAGTCATTCATAATTTAGTAATAATTTCAATTAACTGAATGGCTATTACTAACATTATGCGCTCGGATAGAAAGTTCATTCAAAATTACTCTTTTATCTTTAAAAAAAAAATTGGCCATTTGATATCTAATTTGTTCATTCTTGGCCCAAATTAATTAAAAACTTTAACACATATACAATGTTCTGAACGTATCGATTCCGAGGGCAGTCATGCAGTAGAGCCAATGTTGGTAGTATATGAATTTTGTTGTTTGTCTGACTGTCTGTATGTCTTGACACAGCTGGTCCCACAGTTGTCAACGTCAACATGTTCCTTCGCTCCATCAGCAAAATTGATGATTACAAAATGGTGAGTCGTGGTGACACTATTGAGCCTTTTAAAAAAATATATACAATAAAAAAAATCATGCAACTTAAAACTGTCTTAAAACGGGCCCATATTGTAAATAAGAAGCTATAAGTATCTTGTAAATAACAATAACAATTTGCACTAAAACAAACGTTTCAATTTCGACTAAAAATTTATAAATAATCTCATTTAAAAAAAAAACGCAAGAATAAATAATAAGCTTAAATTAATTTTAAATTAAACGCTATTTTAAACATTTGTTGAAATTGAAATGATGATGTTTTTGCTGTGTCTCGTCCTGTGTTTGTTTTTCTACTATAGGATTATAATTTGGCATCAGCTATCAGTGTCAAAACCAGAATTTCTACTCTTCTCATCCTCCAAATCCTTCATCAACCCTCCAAATAATATTTAATTTAAAAAATTAAAAAAAGAAAAACAGAATCAAAATCATTGAAATTTCAAAGTTTTTGATTGTACTTGTTATTTTACTGGACAACGAAAACATTTTGTTTGTTTAACACTCTGAACGGACACAGTACGAATTGAAATCTATACAATATAAAAGAAGGAAATTTTTTTTATAAAATGCATGACTGCATGGGACACCATTCTAAAACACAATCACAATGCTTTTATTTATGATCTAACTGTTTACTAAAAAATTAAATAAATTTCACTTTATTTTTGTTATTTCTATATATAAAAAAAATTTCAAACTTGAGACTTCCACAGGCTTTTCTTTTAAGCACTACACCTCATATTTACAACCTAGATTCATTAACTCAACCTCATGTCGTTTGAAACAATTAATTGATTGCCTTCGTGTCGGATCAATACTGGCACTGTGAATACTGAATTACGATCATAAAGCGGCCCATAGACAATCAATATTATTGCACAATATTTCGGGTTGTGCAATTTAATTGATCGTGTGTAGACGATATTGAAAGTTTGTGCAATACATTGCATGATTGACGAAAAGTTGAAAATATATCGTACAACCTGGAAAATATTGCACCGTCTGTTGGCATTATTGCGCAATATCAGTCAGTTTGTGAAGTATCGACAAAATATTGCACAAACTTCAATATCGCCTTCAAACAAAATTTTGTACAATATTATTGAACGTTAAGGGGCAACTGTCAAATTATTGTGCAAGCTATATTGTACAATAATATTGACCGTCTATGGGCTTCTTAACTTAAACCGCAGTCATTAATAACCATCAAGTTTATTATTTTATGCGATTTATTTAAACTCAAATTGAAATAACAAGTGTAAACATACAAAGGTCTTGTGCAAGGTTTTATTTTTATGTTTTCAATTCTGTGTGTTCAATGTTTAAAATTCAATACTTGTACTGTTTTGTACAGTGTTTGTGAATCTAGATTCATACGCTTTTCACACAGTTATCATTTATCACACTTTATTTTTTTTCTATTTAATGATCAATAAAGATTTCAAAGGAAGATAATTTCTCCTGTGGTAAGTTATATACATGTCATTTTCCCATCATTATTGACGAATCATTATGACATCCTTAAAGCCAGAATATTTTCTTGTTACCTGTTACCAATTTCAATATAAACAAACTAAGTTTAAAAGTACAATCTAAGCTTTGCTATTTCATAAATCCCTTTCAAACGTTCACCCTCCAAAATAAAATTTAAAAAAATGCTATTAATAAATAATAAAGCCATATTAAATAATATTGTTGTACTTTTAAAAAGGACAATAAAATTTTAAAATTTCACTTTGGTTATTAATTCGGTAATCAGGCCAAAACTACATTTGTAAATAACATTTTTCATTTCGAGTAGAAATACACAATAGGCATGTACATATTTAATTATTGTACATAATATCTTGTATATATACATGAGCATTGCTCGGTTTGTTTTGAAAAAAAAAAGTTAAGTACATAAATTATTTGTTAAGTGGATTGTAAAATAATATAAATAATAAAGAATTTGTAAATTATGTAAAAATATATGATTGAATATTGATTGAAAGTACTTTTTTTTACTTGTAGTATAGATAGAGAAAAGTTTAAAGAAATTGTGTATTTATTGACGAAAATTTTTATTTCTCGAAAACGTTCTGAACTCCTCTGTCTTGTAACTAGAAAACCAATTTTCTATCTTTTACATTGACTTTTGTCTCCCTAGAAAATTTTAGTTCATTATAAAAATTAAACAGTAACTCTTCTGTATTAAAAATCGCAACTAATTTTCACTCGTCTAAAAATTTTAACAGGAAAAATTAAATTAGTTAAAACAGCTCAAAATAATTTATACTAAACCAATCTAATCAGTTGACTAAACAAAACTAAAATTTCAACTCAACGTAATCACTAAATGCAAACAGATAAACATGTTTTCAACTATAATCAAATAAATCATTAAAGACAGGTTTTAAAGAAAGATTTGTCGTTTTGTTAATTAAATTGCCTTCCTCACCTGATTCGATATTAAGAGTACAGAATCTGGAGCTCAAGTGAAAGCTACATCTCTGTTGTCACCCCTCTCACTATTTTCAAGAGATTGATCCCATACCACCCGACTGAAGATTTTGCCTGTGCTAAATGCCAGTGTGTGTGAATGAGTGTTCTGTGTATGTGTTTGCCGCCTCACGACCTCTTACCAAATTCTATAAAGAGAAAGTTTTTCTTACAGACGGAACTGTGAATAGTACAGAAAAAAATTGTGCGATATGTTAAAAAGGAATGAATTGGAAAAAAAAAAAAAAGAGAGATGTTTTTAAAATTAAACGCAAAGCACCAACGGATTTTTAACAAAGGTGCACAATTAGCAAAAAAATCATTAATATATTTCTAAATGAGTGTAGCAAATCTTTTAAATGGCAGGACAGGTAAGTTTTGTCGATTTTTTTTTTTTTTGCATGTGAAAGCTAAGTGTTGCATTTTTTATTAAAACCAAGCATGGTCGTAAATCATAGAGCTAGCGTTAATGTTTGAATGATGTTTAAAATTTGATAAAACTTGCATTTTGATGTAGTTATTTTTTGTACTATTATTAATCATACCATTTTCTTTAAACGTAATACAAAGGTGTAGTATAATTTTTTCCAAAAATTTAGACTTTTAAGTTTAATGTAATCTAAACAATTAGTTAAAAACTAAGTCGAGCACTTTTTTCTTTTTTTCATTTGATTGTAGATTTAACAAGTGAGATTTTCAGAAATTTTCTAATCATTCAGTAAATATTTAAATGTAATTTTTATTTAAAAGTACTTTTTGAATTCAAACTACATTCGTACTAATTGTGTAAATAGCCGTAGAAAAAATACAAATTAGATTCAAAAGAATAGAATATATACATGTATTACAACTAATTGAGCTTTATTTGCTTTTGTATTTTCTGCCCGCAAAGAATCTCTTTGACGTCTCTGTGATTTTCAGGAATACAGCGTGCAGTTAACATTCAGAGAACAGTGGCATGACGAAAGGCTGAAATTCAATGACTTTAATGGTGATTAATTCAAAAATATTTCTGTAACTATAATTTTGCATTAATATAACACAATTTTTTTCTCTCTCGTATCAGTAATAATTATAAAGCAAAATATTTTTTATACTAAATTTTATCAGCTTCTATTAAATATATAAATACTTAATTAATTATACACAATTTTTTTCCAAAATGAAAAATCTGTCACAGGCGGGATTCGAACCCACGACTTTCGGCTCAATACGCCGCTGCTCTACCACTTGAGCTACCGTGACTTCGATCGCCCATGCCACAAACTTCTCACTTCGACTACCCGATTTTATTCTAATTGTAAGCAAATCTAGTACAATCGTTAATAAAAAGTGTTTCTATACGAAGCCGCGATTTGCTTACAATAAGAATAAAATCGGGTAGTCGAAGTGAGAAGTTTGTGGCATGGGCGATCGAAGTCACGGTAGCTCAAGTGGTAGAGCAGCGGTGTATTGAGCCAAAAGTCGTGCGTTCGAACCCCGCCTGTGACAAAGATTTTTCATTTCGAAAAAAATTGTGTATAATTAATTGAGAAAATATTTTTTAGTTTTTAACACTGAATTTGGAAATGTGAAACGCACCCAACAATACATTTTTTGTCTGTTAATAAATAAAACCTTTAATGTTCAAATAATCCGTAGCAATCTCATATTTTAAAATGTTTTGTAATTCACTTTCATTTTTATTAATTAATTGATTAATTTTTCAAGGAAAAATCAAATATTTGACGCTTACCGAGTCAAACAGAGTTTGGATGCCCGATCTGTTCTTTTCGAATGAAAAGGAGGGCCATTTCCACAACATAATCATGCCTAACGTTTACATAAGAATTTTCCCTCATGGATCTGTCCTATACAGTATAAGGTACTGTTTTAATTACATATTTTATGTATATTTTTTTTTCTTTCAACTTTTTATTTTCATGTTAGGATATCGCTGACGCTCTCCTGCCCAATGAACCTCAAGCTGTACCCCCTGGATAGACAGATATGTTCTCTGCGAATGGCAAGTTGTGAGTACCGACTTGGTTTTCATGTTCTAGAGTAAAACGGTTTAATTAAATTTTGACTATTTTAATCCATTCAGATGGCTGGACAACTGACGACTTAGTATTTCTATGGAAAGAAGGCGATCCCGTACAAGTCGTGAAGAATCTTCATCTGCCTCGTTTCACATTGGAAAAATTTCTCACAGATTACTGTAACAGCAAAACCAACACTGGTAAGTATAAAAAAAAACAGCTTTTATTGCCTTGAGGCAGTAGCCTCAAAACGCAGGGCCATAAATGATCTTTGTACCTTCTTGTATGTGATATGCGTTTTTTATTGAAATGAATGTATTTATTTGCGTGAATGGAGGGTTTTATCCACCAAATACCCCAAGGAACATCAAGTACAGTAAATTCATCTCTGAAATTTGCTCGTCATTGCCAAATACAAGATGTCTTTTAAATTCACAATTTTCAAATGAACCTTGGAAACAGGACTATCATTGCCTGGGCCAATAAAATTCAGATAAGTAAAGAAAACTCACAAAAATACAAATACACGCATTTATTTGCATCACTGGAGCAATGAGAGCATTTCCGAAAGTTTGTAAGGAGAAAATATTAGGTCTAATCCCTCTGCAACAAATTTTGTTTTTTCTAACTGGGTCTGCTAGAAATTGATTGTAATAAACCTTCATTTATGTGATATGCGTTTTTTATTGAAATGAATGTATTTATTTGCGTGAATGGAGGGTTTTATCCCCCAAGTTCCCCAAGGAACATCAAGTACAGAAATTCATCTCTGAAATCTGCTTGTCATTGCCAAATCCAAGATGTCTTTTAAATTCACAATTTTCAAATGGACCTTGGAGACAGGACTATCATTGCCTGGGCCAATAAAGTCAAATAACTAAAGAAAACTCACAAAATTACAAATACACACATTTATTTGCATCACTGGAGCAATAAGAACATTTCCGACAGTTTGTAATCCCTCTGCAACAAATTTTGTTTTTTCTAACTGGGTCTGCTAGAAATTGATTATAAACCTTCATTTATGTAATATGCGTTTTTTTATTGAAATGAATGTATTTATTTGCGTGAATGAAGGGTTTTATCCCCCAAGTTCCCCAAGGAACATCAAGTACAGAAATTCATCTCTGAAATCTGCTTGTCATTGCCCAATACAAGATGTCTTTTAAATTCACAATTTTCAAATGTAGAAGCTACTTCTTCAACTTGAACTGAGCAATGAGAGAATGTCTGTCAGCTTGTAAGGAGAAAATATTAGATCTAATCCTTCGATACAAAAATTTTGTTTTTTCTTACTGGGTCTGCTAGAAATTGATTGTAGTAAACTGTTTTAAAAGGAAATGTTTATTGTTTCAGGCGAATACAGTTGTTTGAAGGTGGATCTGCGATTTAAGAGAGAATTTTCATACTACCTTATTCAAATTTACATCCCTTGCTGCATGTTGGTGATCGTGTCGTGGGTATCATTCTGGCTCGACCAAAGTGCCGTGCCCGCTCGCGTTTCCCTCGGTGTCACAACTTTGCTTACAATGGCGACACAGACTTCGGGCATAAACGCTTCCCTCCCTCCAGTCTCATACACAAAGGCAATTGACGTTTGGACAGGCGTCTGTCTGACATTCGTGTTTGGAGCCTTATTAGAGTTTGCGCTGGTCAACTATGCTTCGAGATCAGATATGCACAGAGACAACATGCAGAAGCAGAGGCGCCAGTGTGAGCTTGAGCACGCTGCGCAGCTAGAGTCAGAGCTACTTGAAGATGGTGGTGCAACTTTCCAAATGGTAAATTTGCTTCTTATACATACATTTTTTGTAAATTTTTGAATTATAATGTAGTTTAATCATCTATGGTCATACTATTCTGATCGGTTTTGTGAATAAAATTTGCAAAATTTCTCCATTTTTTTATAGTCTCGTCTTGTTTTGTCCAAACATATGAAAGTGACAATGTTAAAATAACTATCAAAAATGGTAGTATGCATCTGTCAGCCAGAACCAACAAGAATATTCAGGATGATCAGATATGATCAAGCTCCAAGTTGATTACTCAGACTTGACCGCAGTGTTTCACTTTTTGTCTGTATAAAAAAATAAGCACTGTCAGATCTGTTGGGCTTTCCTTTTGCGGAAACAAAATATTAAAAGATGTTGTCTCAATCATAAGTAGTCTGATCACATCAATTATTATGTGATAAATAAACCAAGGATTTTACTTCGTTTTTTAATATTTTACATTTTATTGGTGTTTTATTGTTTCTTATTTAGGGCCTTTTTTGATGGTGGTTAAGGAAAGTTTCAAATCTCTGACGTTTCAACGTCCTTTGCCATTTTCAAGTATTCAAGTTCATTTCTTTAGTGTTGTCATTTTTGCTGGTTTTTACATTTTTAACGCATTTATTAAATTTTAAAAATTATTCATGTTATAACATTAAAGAATTAAACTTTACTTATAAAAAGTAAGAAATAAACACCTTCATAAAATGTCTGGATATAAGAAAAATTAAACCATCCATAAAAAGAAGAATAAAAAATTGTATTGTTATAAATACACTAAATGTACTTGGTTGCTGGTATATAGTTTTGTGCCCTCAAATTAACCCTTTTTAACTTCAAATTAACCTTTTTTTAAATTTCAACTTAACCCCTTTTAATTACAAATTAACCATTTTTGAAAACATTAAAAAAATAGATGAGATTTTTTTTAATAAAATAATTTTGCTTTTAGAAAATCACATGAAAATTAGTTACAATACAATTAATTAAGGTTTTTAGTTGAGATGAAAAAAAGTTAATGGCACGAGAGGGATTCGAACCCACGACCTTCGGCTAGATACGCCGCTGCTCTACCACCTGAGCTATCGTGACCTCGATCCACTCGGACATCAACTCCCCATCTCAACCCCACCTTATGAGTTTTCCCTCCTTTTCGGGTTGAGATGGGGAGTTGATGTCCGAGTGGATCGAGGTCACGATAGCTCAGGTGGTACAGCAGTGGCGTATTTAGCCGAAGGTCATGAGTTCGAATCCCGCTCGTGCCATTAACTTTTTTTCATCTCAACTAAAAACCTCAATTAATTGTAAAGTATTAATTGGTCAAGTGGACCACGAAATTAGTGAAATTAGTTACAATTCAAATTAAAACTTGCGTTTTTTATTACATTTGTTAGTACATTGTTTGTTATTTACAATTACAAATATTGTATTAAGCAAATATTCTGTACATTGGCTGAATTAATCAATTGAGTCAACTTCACTGTCTGAAAAGGTCTCAGTATGATTTTCTTCAGTAATCTTGAAGGATTTTCTGATAGGGTTGGAATGGACCTCAATAAAGATCGAAACGTTGGCACGATAAAGAAAATGTTTTTCTAAAACCTACGTCCTGCCAGACCGCATCACACGATTTCTAATTAAAAATTAAAAAGGGTTAATCCAAAATTAAGAAGGGTTGATTTAAAGTTAAAAAGTGTTAATTTGAAAGTAAATAGAGTTAATTTGAAATAAAAAAGGGTTATTTTGAAGTTAAAAGGGTTAATTTGAAGTTTGAAGGTAATGAAATGGAAAAAAGCTATAGCACTAGATATTTGATTTCAATATAGAGACACATAAAAACTGATTATTTGTAATTAGTAATGGAGTAAATTACATAAATGTATCTGATTATGATAATGATCATTATATGAGTAATTACACTTGTTTTATATTTATATGTTTTGCTAAAAATAACATTTTCAAAAATTTATGGTAAGTACAAAATATAATCCATAATTAAAAAAATAGTTTTTTATTTATATATTAGCATTGATTGATTTATAATTAATGAATATGTTAAAATGTGTTTTGAAATGTTTTGTGAACATTTTTTTTTATCTCTGTTCAACAGAAGCCTCTTGTCCGAAGACCAGGTGACATGCCGATGGAAAAGATCAGGCAGTGCGAAGTGCACATGCAGCAACCGCAGAGGCCGAACTGCTGTCGAACATGGCTCTCCAAATTCCCGACGCGGTCCAAGAGGATAGACGTAATATCGCGCATCACATTCCCTCTTGTATTCGCTCTTTTCAACCTCACTTACTGGTCGACGTACCTATTCAGAGAAAATTCGGACGGTGAATAAACAATCAACACTAAATTTATAAATATATGAAAAGACATTCACACCAGATTTAGAGTGCTGTGCTAACAATATCACAGTGATTTTTATATATACACAATTTAAAATTTAAAAGAAGCATTTAATAATTAATGTAAATACATTAAACTCATCTTGTATTCCCTCTAAAACATATCTAGTAATATGATTAAGATTTTACAAACATTCTTTCTAACAAAAGAAATTATTCATTTATGAAGTGTGCATGATTAAAAATGTAATGATAAATAATGAAATTATAAAAAAATAAAAATGTATAAGTTAACGAGGTTAAGCTTATTTTCCAAGAGGTTAGGCTTGTTGGCCTTTAAAACAAAAATTATAAATGAATGTGTTCATTATAAAAAACAGTACGACTAAGCAATAATATATTTTTCACATAGATTTTTAGGAATAAAAATGATCAAAAAATAAAGATGAGTTCTGTCACAACCTTTTACAGGTAAGGCTTACATAATCAACATTTTTAATCTAGATACAAATCTTCTAAATCCTGGTGTGAATACAATTAGACAAACGGGTGTCTAAACCAATGACTTTTAACAAATGACGCAACACACAACTAAGAGAAAAAGAGAAAAAATCAATTTAGTGACTAGTTTATAAATCATTTTAGGCAGTAGAGCCAATAAAATTATTCAAAGAGAAAAGCTTAAATGGAAATATGTAGCAGAAACGTAATACTTATTGTGCTAATTATACATTTTTAACCTCGTTCTTCATCGGTAGCAAAATATAATCCAATCAACTTTTGCAATGTATATTGGCTGTTTATTTAATTTTTTTTTTTTTTTTTTTTTTTAACACTCGAAAACAATAACCTATCGAGGTGCGAGATATGTGGGAAAAATTATAATTTTATAAACTTATAAATAATATAATCTTATAATTTAAAAAAAGAAAAAAAAAAGATCAAATGAAAAGTGAAAAAAAAATCACGGTGTATAATATAGTAATTATAATAGACCTAAGTCTATAAAAATCCGGCCATTGTATTTTCACCCACAACTTTGATACCCTCGCCGATGGTCTATGGACAACTTAAAAAAGAAAAAACCTATTACAAAAAAAATGCAATTATGAAACTATACTAAATGTTAAAAAAACCTACTTTACAACTTTCAATTTATAATTTATGAGTATGTATTTTAGCACAATTTTGTACTATCCTATATGCTGTGCATTAGGTTAGCAATAAAGAAAAAAAAAACACAAAAAAATTGTAGTTAGTGAATGGTTTACCAGGGTTAACACGTCATGGCTATGATAAGCCTTGTTTTTCCATGGGGGTTTTCCTGATTGGTGTCTCTCCATCCATGCAAAACTTTGACCTAAAAACAATTCATCTAATTATTTTACTATTCTTATTTGTCTCTCAAGTCAAACTTTTAAAAAATGCTCAAATTCCCAAACTGTACTATATTATTGATACGATTAAATATTTTTAATTATAGTTATCGTTTATTATTATTTAAATTTTGAATCAAACCTTGTTTGAGTGCTGTAATGGAATCTAGATTTTTATTTAGATTTTAATTCTAGTGCTACTACTTTCCCCAAAAAACTTACTTCTTTAACGACAGCCTGAAAATTTTCTCTTTACGTTTCATATTCTTCATGGCCTTAAGAAAACTATTTTTAAATTGTTACGGAAAGTCAAATATGGGCATATCAACAGACATTTGATGCTGCACTCTTTATTAAAATAAATATATTATTGTTCTATTATACTATAATATAACAATAACATATTATTATTAAATTTTAATCGACTATCTTAACTATTGATGATTACTAATTCATCAAATAGAGTAAATAGTATTTTTTGATTTAAATTTATTTTTAATATTTTTGTTTGATCTATTGTAGCACTCTACCTTTTAGTATTTTTGTTTTATAAATGCTCTAATTTACTCTAAACATGAGTCTAAACATAAATGTACTGTGCAAGCATGTGAATGGGGACCACCACAAAACTCCAAAAAAAAAATATATATATGTATGTATAATCTTATGTATTGTACACTGAATGTTGTAAATAAATATTTGTGCCCATTGTGAATAATAATAAGAAATTACAAGGCACGAACTGTCATTTTATAAAACAAAAAAAAAAATATATATATATATAATCAAAATAAAAGATAAGAAATTAAAATTACAAAAGAATACAATGTAAATATGTTTAAATAAAAATATATAGATTTACACTAGCTTTTCACCTGATTCTATTGAAGGAATAAAACTAAATTTATTAGTATGTCCTGGTGCTTTAATTACAGAAAACAATTTGTAGAAGAATTTTAGGTTGTTATAAATTAGTTGTTTTTCTTAAAAACCAAAGAGAGTATCAATTTTCAGTCTCATCCCTAAAACCAATCTATTAATTTTGTTTGACATAATTTAAGTAAAATGAGAAATAAAGTTAAATGTTGAATATAGTATGTAGAGTGTTTGGAAAGCGGATAACGATATATGTTGGAAAGCTAACAACAATCAAAGCAGAGAATGTTACACTTTAAAGAAACTATATTGGTACTTTGAAAATTTACATAAATTTGGCTGTGCAGATTTTAGTAATTAAATTGATGCTAGGCTGAGATAAAGAAATAAATATTAAAATATTTAAACAAAACCAATTCTCTCCCATTGCACTAAAAACTATTTAAACATTAAAAAAACCATGATTTGCACTTAAATAATTTTATACTAAAATCTTGGTTTTCAAAAAGTTTTCGTTTTTAATTTGCACTGTGTTTTATGAATATAGTCTAATTTACTCTCGTTGCACGTTTTTCTTCAGGGATGTGGATCTGCTTCAGCCATAAGTAGAGTGAAATTGGTGCGCTTGAATTGTTTTATTACACTGTTTAAGAAAAAGCAAAAAATTCCATCATACATTCTCCACTTTTACTAAATTAAAAAGAAGAAAAAAGTAATTCGTTAGCTTACAACCACAAAAGCTTTGATGATTTTTTTATTATTATACACTTACAGATTTTAAAGGTTGAAGTGTAGTTTAATAATAGATTAGTACAATCTGTTGTGTCATGCTTGACAATAAAAACATTAATTAATAACATCTAATAAATTTCCATAAAGAATTTAGGGCAAACATAATTTCTCTCTTCTTCTTTTTTATATATATTTTTAACCAAAACCAACATTAATTTAATACAACTTTATTTTTGGGGGTGAAAACAATTCGTTTCAAATGATTTTTGATTATTCATTAAAAAAAAATTGTAGCGGCTGTTGAAATGTTTATGAACCAATTGACTCGTCTACTTTTGGGATGAAGGCGATATGCAATTTGATGATGTGCCTAAGACATTAATGACAACTAGTGACCCCATGATACGATTCACCGTTATTTCATCAATTTCCAATACGTTTTCTTGTCATAGTAGAAAATTGCTTAGCGTAAATGAGCTCATGTGTACGGTGAACTGTTATTCATAAACTTTATGGTTGTACAAATAGACTTACTAGCATGAATGTTTGTAATTAGGGGAAAGAAAAAAAAATGAACAAAGAACTATGTTTTACATGCTTTTTCAACAGTGCATTAGGAGAACTTGTTAAATGTTTATATTTTTCTTAAACCAAAAGTTTAATTTTTATTTTAATTTTTTTATCAAAGGATTTGCTGTTTAGCTGTTACTATTGAGTTTTAAAATATATAAATGATTAAAAGTAAATTTATTAATGTAGAGTATTTGTTATAATGTATATACAAATAGTTAATGTTATGTTATGTATTATACCTAGTTCATGGGATAATGCTCAAATATGAGAAAACCTTTCCTATGTCTTTTTTTAATTACAACTTATGGAAATGTTACTCTGATGGAGTATGTTTATATAAAAATAAAAAATAATAAACAAATTATTGTTTCTATTTCATGAAGTTTGTTCCTAAGTGTGATGACTCATAAAAGAAAATATAGGTTTATATTAATAAATAATTCATATTACTACAAATGCTACCAAGGTATAAATGTCAACCTGAGTTTTTTCCGCTAAAAAGTACGACAGTAACTAAACAAACTAACTTTTTTTTTAACTAAACACTGTAGTTTTAATAAAGTTTCGGTTAGACATATTGATAATACAAATTTAATTAATTAACTTAATCAGAAATTAATTAAGGTTTTTAGTTGAGGTAAAAAAGTCAGTGTCAAAAATTCAAAGGTGGGGGTTGAGATGGGAAGTGTCCGAGTGGATCGAGGTCACGATAGCTCAAGTGGTAGAGCAGCGGCGTATCTAGCCGAAGATCGTGGTTCGAATCCCGCTCGTGACACTGACTTTTTTATCTCAACTAAAAACCTTAATTAATTTCTTATTAAGTTAATTCATTAAATTTGTATTATCAATATGTCTAACCGAAACTTTATTAAAACTACATTAACTTCCCATCTCAACCCCCACCTTTGAATTTTCCCTTCTTTTTCAGGGTTCAAATGTCGTATAATATATTTGATTCTCGGAGACAAATGAAATGACCAGAGCTTTAGTGAAGGAATACTTCATTTTTTAACTTATTAAATTCACTAGTTTTGAAAGTGAAAAAATGGCAAGAAGGAGGGAAAATTCAAAAGGTGGGGTTGAGATGGGAAGTGTCCGAGTGGATCGAGGTCACGATAGCTCAAGTGGTAGAGCAGCGGCGTATCTAGCCGAAGATCGTGGTTCGAATCCCGCTCGTGACACTGACTTTTTTATCTCAACTAAAAACCTTAATTAATTTCTTATTAAGTTAATTCATTAAATTTGTATTATCAATATGTCTAACCGAAACTTTATTAAAACTACATTAACTTCCCATCTCAACCCCCACCTTTGAATTTTCCCTTCTTTTTCAGGGTTCAAATGTCGTATAATATATTTGATTCTCGGAGACAAATGAAATGACCAGAGCTTTAGTGAAGGAATACTTCATTTTTTAACTTATTAAATTCACTAGTTTTGAAAGTGAAAAAATGGCAAGAAGGAGGGAAAATTCAAAAGGTGGGGTTGAGATGGGAAGTGTCCGAGTGGATCGAGGTCACGATAGCTCAAGTGGTAGAGCAGCGGAGTATCTAGCCGAAGATCGTGTGTTCGAATCCCGCTTGTGAGACTGACATTTTTTATCTCAACTAAAAACCTTAATCAATTGAAAAATATTAATTGGTCAAGCGGATCACGAAATCTAGTGAATTTAATCAGAAATGATTATTCAAGTCGGTAGGAAGGCATGGAATCAGTCCTCGGGGAAAACAAACTTAATTTTTTCCCAGCGGTTTTGTTTTTCTCTCGATGTGGTTTTTTTCCATTTTTTTTTCATAGTCCATCTACTTCAACCCTCCGGCATTGTTTTTCACTTTGCCTAAGATCAAAAGAGAAGGGGGGTCACATGGGAAATTAATAAAAAAAAAGTTTCTACTTGTTTTTGCCCCGACCCTTGGGTAATTATTAGTGTCTTTCATTCCGAGACGAAACAGTATGCAAAAGGAGGCAGGGAAAGGATTACCCTTCAGTAGGACGAAAATAAAAAAATTAAAAAAAAACCATTCGGTTTGGCAAGTCTCAGGTAAGCCCCCCTCCCCCCAGTGACCGCCCTGCATATCATTACGAGATTAACACGGGTCTGTTTTTTCCAAAGTCTAACTTAAATAATGAATTTTTTTGCCAACCCCTTGCACACCCTTCCGTAATCTGCGTTCGTGAGAAAGACGAACGCCGTCGGAATTAATTATTGAAGTTATTTTATTAACCCTCGAGGGAAGCTGACTA